TCCATTAATATATTGAGTATTTGTTTTTAATAGTCCATGCGCAAAGTAATTTTCATGTTAAAATTAATAATACTTTTCCTCATCTCAAAAACCTCAAATTTCCTTTGTGTAGTTTCTAAAACATCCTAAATGCATTTCAAACGTTTTTTTTTGTCAGTAAAACTTTATAGTTTATCTGTTATTTTCTTTACCCTATCTCAAAATTGGATTGGTCAGTTTGACTGACTTCGTAATCACCAAAAAAAATCGAAATAAACCTACATTACTCCTTTTATTTCTAGAATGACTTCAAATTGTAACATGAAACTACATTCGTTTATCCTAAGTTGTTGTAAGTTTATAACAATATGCATCTATTTATAATTAAATTTTATTGTTTTATTGTCCTTTGAACCATGTCTAACTACTGTCTGTGCCATTATAAGTTGTAAATCACTTTATATACTGAAAATATATTTCTGATAGGTACTTACCTCTACCTCCTCTCAAACTTCCCACCCTTCCTCCCCACTGAAAACTGGTGCTTTTATTTTCTGCCAAATCTTGAGGTGATTATTCGGTAGAATTGAATGGAGGGAGTCGCATCAAGAGAGTATGTCGCACTGTTATTGGTGGTGGGTTGTCACATGATGATTTGTATGAGAGACACATTGGAGTTGGTCAATTCTAATTGAGTGGGAGATTAAAGGCTTGTGGCATGTGTAAATATTATTTGGCATATAGAGGGCAGCCCTGAAGGAGAATAGCTAGTTATATGAGAGGAGGTAAGTATCTATCAGAAATACATTTTTAGTTAGGTTTAATGAGTGTGGTAGGCAGCAACAAAATGTTCTGATGACTTGTATTCTTATTTGTTGAAATTATTGAAGTCTTAGATTACCAATACATTTTTGTCAGTTTTTGCTATGTTTTTGTGGTGATTTATAGCCAGAAGTGATGAATATTGCAATTGACAAAATGAAGTATGAAAATAAATATGTTAATGAATAACAATCAAGTTGAAACTGACTGGATATATAAAATGAAACTTTCTGACCATTAGTAATAATAATCAGTTGAATTCTAAGATGGGAAAAAAAATATTTTTATGTTTTTGAAAACAGTATCTCACAATAAAAGTTTGGATATTTCATAATCTACAACATGATAAAAACACCATCAGATTATGTGCATTTCTTCAAAAATAGATACTATTTAGTGAGTTTTTATTAAATTTCATATAGTTTTGTTGAGAATTTTCATTTTGAGAAGTTAAAAAAGTTGACATCCCTTTGGTCCAGAAATGGTTAAGTATTATTTTGTTTTTTGTCACAAGTCACTGTTTCTAAAGGCTATTCATTTAATATTTATTTCATTGCCTAAGCCAAATTTGTAATATTTGTACATATAAATCTATCCAAATTATATTTGTATGTTTTACTAGTAACTCATTGTTATACTGTAAAACATCTAAACTTAGCTAGTAAACTGAGAAATCTCTTTACATCTGATAAATATGTTTAAATATCTCATTTTACCCCAGAAGAAATTTGTTTTTAATATTGCATGTAATTAACTAGGCTGGTTGATAAGTTATTTATGATATTTATATATTTTTTACTATTGTTTAAATTGTTTTGTTAAAGCTTCACACCTCACACCTAGTTGGGGCCTTAACAGATTTTGCCTATTACTCACATGTCAGTTTTTCTTAAACAAATGGATTTCAAAATTGTTACTTAACTAGACTGTACTTACTGAAGACTGAATACCTGGTTGGAAAATAATTTATGCAAGTCCAAATTAAACTTTCCACAACTTATTGGATTGTAAATGTATTTTTTTTTTAAATCATTATATAATTTTACTTGACTGTACCCAAGAAGGCTCAGTAGGTAATAGCATAATAGTCATTCTAAACTAATTCCCACTAATATTATAGAAGTATGTTATTTTAGTATTGTGAACTTATTGAGTGACATTCATATTAACTCTATGTGGATGGGTGGAGGGTCAAAGTGCAAAATCACAACTTTTAAATGTATATAAATACATTTGGCATCCAAACAAGTTTTGATTTTTAATTTGAAAAGGAAATATTCAAATAAATTGACAATCTTCAATTTTTTGTGTCATGTGATGCTTTATGCTCTCAATGCTCATCTGTTAAATACACCAACTATAGATATTGACAGATCAGAATTTATATCAAGAACCTCCCACTTTCTTTATACACTAATCACAGAAACTCTTCTCAAGTCATCATGCTTTTGAAATTAATTATTTACCCGTGCTTACGTGACAGTGTTACATATTTATAACCAAGAAAGGCCATTTTGTGAACTACATGACCATGACATCTGTATTTTAATTTATTTCGATAAAAAAGGCACCATTTTCTAAACGGAATTTGAGTGAAGACCAATGTTGTTGCTCTAGTAAGTAATGAAATTTTGTAAACATTTTTATAGGTCAGTTAGAAAGCCAAATAAATTATAGTAGTTTTTGGGGATTCTGTTTTACTGTTTGTGTTTTAAAATACATATTTGAAAGGTACATAAATTATTTTTTGGGTAACCAACTTAGTGAGAAACATTTAGGGTTAACGAACACTGGCGCCCAGAAGCAAAAGGCCTCAGTTGTGAAGTAAGTGCTAAATTTCTTGTTTTTATGTGCATTTTTTTTATTGATTGCTACATATTTTTTGACAAAAGTAACTAAAATGAAAAACTTATTAAATTAGATAAAGAAATTTATATGAAAAACATAATTTTTCACGTGGCGTAATGCACAAAGAACATGTAGTTATATATTGCATAATGTAAACTGTAATTTTGTTTACACTAAAATCTTCACACACCTGCTGGGGGATTTGTTGCTATTTGCAGTAGTTATGCATAGTTCAAAGAGCAATGAAACAAATCAAATGAAAACAGCTATAAACCTTGATGAGCCTGAGGCTGTTCAGGATAAATAATTTTAATTTTCTGTTACAACCTGTAGTCATTCTATAAAAAAAAAACAGCACTTGAAATTTTTTGTGGTGTTTACAAGGTCAATCAAATGGGCTAAGCTCATATAATGTTAAGGTAGAGAAAATAACAGATAAAGTATAAAGTTTTACTGGAAAATAACTTCATATTCATTTGGCAGGTTATACATTTTATACAAATTAAATTTAAAACTGTGATATGAAAAGTATTTTTATTCTTAACTGGAAAGTCATTTTGTACTCAGACTAGTGTGAGCCAGACTGACTAAAGTAAATTCAGAGACAAATATTTTGTAAAAATACTTTATTAAAAATTCAGATTTTTTTTTATATATCAAATACGTTAATTTTAGATATTTTAGCTCCTTTTATTAAATACACATAGATAAAAAAAATACATAAAAACATGGATTCTAGTATTCATTGCATACATGAGCTGTTTGCATTGGAGTAATAATGTTTGACATTCCTCTCTGTCTCATTTGGTCTCACAAATAAAAATCAAGTAACTTTCAAATATGTATTTTACAACACAAAATTTATCAGGCAGTAGAATGGAATGTCCCAAACTACTATAATTTATAAAGCTTTCTAAGTAAAAATCTTTCTGTACTTACTGTTTAGTGTATGAAATCTGTCAACACAAATGGAGCAATTGTATAGTTTGTGATTATAATTGGTTGTAAAGTACAGCTTCATTTTTCTGTGTCACATGACATGCCTAAGCTTTAATTTCTCCACTTCAAAATTCTGTAACTTCTAAACTAAGAAGTTTGACATATTTGTGGATTTCTTTTTAAAATTGGGAAGTTAAACCTTAGATAATCTAAATTTTGAATTATAAGCTACATTTTCATGCCAAGTTTATTGACATACATTGATAATAAAGTTAATTAAATTTTGAATGTAACACTGTAAAAGATGATGACGTGCACTTTGACCAGGTCATACAGAAAGTGTTGATAGTATCTTTGGAAGATTTAGTCATTTTCAGTTTACTCAAAGTCTATCAACAAATAGGCTTTTGCAAAGTTATGTTTGAACTCTTATGTGAAGTAGTATTAAATACGAGATTCACATATGGTCACCCACACATTTTGATATTAAGACAATATTCTTTAATGCACATTATCCTTTTGTTAAATAAGTCTTTTAAGGGTAATTGCAACAACAAATCAATCTCCTAAGTGTATAAAATTATCTGAAACATTGAAAATAACTCGTAGTAGCATCAAAGGTTTGTTATTTTTTCTTTATTTAACAGAAAAGTAGCAGCTTTGAGACAGAATGGGTTAAATGACTCTAAAGAGATAGCCAGAATTGAAGACAAGTATGTAAGTATTAAACAACTAATGCTATACATTGCTACAGGATATATATCAAAAGCACAAAGGCAACAGAAATAAACAATTTACATTCAATATAATAACATATATGAAATGCTCTTCACCAATCTTAAAAATTTTAATTCCTCATCATAAAATGTTGTAACTTCATAAATTTTGTATATTTTACCTTGTTTAATGTAGCTTGCTGAATGTGGAATATATGTATATATTCCAAAAATTTCAAGTGTTAAATGTGCTGTTTCAAAAGAGTTAAATGTTTTACTGTTTTGATGTGCTTTTGTTCAGCATTAGATGCCAATTTCCATATAATGAATCTATTGCTGGGAGATATGTATCTAAATAGACACTATTTGAAATTCATACATGTTTTTGTTGCTTAACCTTGTGGTTTCTGCTTCCTTCAGTTCTTAAGAGAGCTACAGGTGCTTACATCAGAGCTCATTCGTGTATTTTAATTACTTCAGTTTCTTGGGTTCCTCATCTTTTTTTTTCTGCTGATTAGATCTTCTTTGTTGAACCTTGTTACACAGAACGTTTTGTTTTTCTAGCCAGATGGGTATAGGAACTGTTTCCATCTTTGGGATTTCACAAGTATTTATCATAAATAATTAAATAAGAGACAAAAATGTAGGTTAGGCTTTCTAACTCCTTAAACCCGAGAGGCCACTGCCAGCATCCGGCTGAAAATCCCAATTTACCCATTGGAAAGTGATAGCATCCAATAACATTAATGTCTCTTTGGCTGAAAACTAATCCAAACCATGTTATTATCCACAAAATTTAGAACATTTTAATTTTATAAGGTATGGTGATAATTATTAGGAAATCATGAAAATAATTCCAGCAGAGTACATAAAAAATTACAGGTTTAATGACTTAAGTGTGAAAGTTTTCCAATTTTTCCTTATTTCATGATTGAGGTTTTTTTAAGCTATATTTTGATTATTCATAGAGGTTTTTATTGTACTTTGTTGAATAATTGAGAGCACTTGTTTAAAGGGCAAAGTTCATCTGATATTCACATTTTTATATTGTCCATTTAGTTCCATTTCTCCTATTTATCTATCTGCTACATAAATTACTTGTTCCAGTGAGTTTCACCTTTTTCAGGTGCATTCATTACATCTTAGAAAAGTGTTTCAGAATGATTTATGATGTTCTTTTCATCTTCCTTTTTACCTGTATGATTTGCTTCTTTAGTAGCTTTCAGAACCAGTTTAGCTTTTGATGTGTTAACCAGTTTTCTTCTAATAGAAGCAACTGCTTTTGTGAACACTTTTTAGTTGAACTTTGATGCTGTTCTGGATTTCATTCTAGTGGCAGAACTCTGGATTTACCTTATATTTTGCATTGACATTAATGTATTGGAATTGTTTATGATTGATCTGTACTCTGTGGTCAGGTAGTTTTAATACTGTCAAACTTTCTCATAGTGTCTTATGTCACTTGCTAAGAAGGCACATAATCAAAGTTATATGCTTCAAAACATTACATCCTGTATTTTGAATAATGGATCATGAGATACTTTATTTCCCATGCCAATGGTCACATTCTAAGAGTTATAAGTCTGATTGCTGAATCATTTGAGCCAAACTGTATTTTACTCACTACATTTGATATTTGAGTATTTTTGTTCTAACTTTTTATAGTAATGGATTATTTTGTTATGATCTCTCAATTCCAAACTTATGGTGTTTGTTTTCACTAGTCCCAAACCTTCAGTTATTGGAAACAGGTGATTTTAATTAGAAACAATCTCATATTTTCCTGTGTGCTTGCTTTTTTTCTTTATCTCATTGTTCAGATATTTTTCTGATAAAGTTTTCTGTCTTGAGAATTTTGATCAGGCCTCTTTTTGGTTTGATCAATTATGATTTCCAGAATCTGTTACCTTTTCAGCATTAACAAGGCTTTTTTCTGTTTGTCAACTCAAAATCTAACATCTTCATTTTGAGTTGTCAGATCCTTTGCCTGAGGTACTGGATTTTCCATAAAGTTTCTCTCTTATTATAATCATTTGCATTTTTTTGTATTTTCATACAAAGATGGTGGGATTTACAGTGTTGATGCACATATTGTTACATCCAGTGATGTAGTCCTAGAAGTGAAAAAATGTGTGTGGCTAATAAGATTTGGAGTGACATTTTAACAAGCAACATTTAAATTACAATTTATGTAAAGTAAACAGTTAATATTTTATCTAACCACTAATTAATTCATATTTAAAGTAATAATAATAAACAGGGTACACCCAGCCTTTTAAAAAGAACAGTGGTACCCAGGCCTTCCCTGGCTTTACTAAAACTACTGTTTTTTTTCTCCTATTTTCTACCAATTTTCTATAAATTCGTTTTATGAGATTATCACAATGTTCTTTCTAACACTTTAATGCATTCTGCTTATTCTTCCTGATCTCTCTCGTTTTGTTCCATTTCATTCCTTGTCAATAATGTTACTGGAATGAGACATTGTTCCAGTTTTGAAAGCCCTCTCCTTACCTTGTTTTGAGCCTTTGACTTGTTGTTCCATTATATAATTTTCTAAGAAGAGTTGATTCCTGCTCTGAATGGCTATAGAATATATTTCAAACATTTATTCCTTTGATAAATTTCACGTGATGTATTTCAGGGATAAAGATTTTCATGCAATGATTATTCTCCTATTCCTTTGATGTGAGCACTGCCAGAAGAAAATTGCATGTTTTCTTCATCAATTCTCTCATGTTTCTGTTGATTGTTTTTGCTCAGACTCTGACAAGTTCTGATTCATCCATGCACTTCACTGCTGCTTGACTCACAAGAAGTGTTTTCATGGTGCTTGCTCATCACAGTAATTGGCTGAAGAATATTTTCAGGAAGAATTACACAAGTTTAGACAATTAGTAAAAATATGGGTTATTAGTCATCTTTTGGAAGATACAGCAACCAGCCACATTCTTTGTTGCTAATGCTTCTTCTTCTTCTTGCATTGAAGACCTGATCTATTCAGGAATTTGTACTTCTTCTTCTGCCTCCATCCCCCAACTTACAAATGTTTTTGCACAATTTTGCTTTTGAATTTTTAATATCTCATGTGGTTATTTTGTATTCTTTTTTTAAAGTTATAATTTTGAATTTAGATCACTCAGGCTTTTCTTTAGACTTTCTATCTGTTACTAGGAGCTACACCATCTTCAATGACTGAACTTGGTGTTGACTGAGCATGAATTCAGTGGTGCTTCATATACCATGCCTTTCATCTAATACCTGCTTTAGGTGGATATTATTCTTTCTTTTATAGTAGTTGAACCATTTATATTATATGGCATCATTGCTCTTGACATGATGGGGTCCTTGGCCATATTATATTTTTTCCTTCTTTCGTTTACTCTGTTTAGATACATATGATGTACTGATATATTCAGGTTTGTAAGTTGTCTGATGTTTGTGTCATATCTTAATTGTGAATATTGGTTACATAGATATCCACCAGTCTTATGTCCTTGACTAAATAAAGTCATCCAACCAAATGCATCTCATGTCTTAATCTTAGACAGACTCATGACTCAAAGCTAGCCAGAACTTTACTTATATGTTGTAGAGCTGGGTGATTAGTGACATTTGCTAATTGATTAATCAACAGGCCCATTAGTTTATTGTAGTAAGCTAATTGATTATTGTCGCATGTGCTTAATATTCTTATTGTCACCATGTTTTGCTTTTCATAGACATTTGCCACCTACTCTTTGGTTAATATCATAGACATCTTAAGGTACAATATTTTAGGATTGAGTTAGTTTTTTAATCCTAAACTGTTCCACACAATGTAGTTTGAAACCTGTAACAGTTTGAAAATATTGTTGTAAGCTATATTTTCAATGCTAGATAGAGAGAGTTACTAACCATGATGATACAATACCTAGAATGATCATGAATGTAAAGGGTTAAAGTTTTGTAAAGTATCTAGAAACAAGAATACCTTATAAATACGAGAATCAGTGAAGCATTAATTAAGTTTTTGGTTCGATCAGTGAATAAGGAGTTGAAGTATTTAGATCAGTTTTAATTACTGTGTATATTCAGCTACTTGATAAATTATCAGTGAAACTGTGCATGTAAGCTTATGTGTACAATAGTTATAGTAATATTAATGAGTAAATTACTGTTTAATGTGAAAATGCGATTTGTGAACGAAAGCCTACAACTGTGTAAAAGTGATAATATCCTGTAGCAAACATTAAGGAATAAATAAACTAATTTCTTACCATCACATGGACTGAACTTTGCATTATTTTCACCAAATAATTTAAAAGAACCCAACCAACAAAAGAACACATTACAACAATACAACATTAATTGCATTTGATGGGTTTTTCTTTCAAATTTACATAAGACTACTAAAACTACTTATTTTTTGTTAATGAAAATAACTTCAAGATATTTTCAAACACTTGTTTTATATAAGGTCAATGGACTTTATTATCGTAGAATTCACAAATAAAAGATTTCAAAAACATGGCTGGTTTGTTGTTTTTCAAAACACATTTAACAACACACAAGATTTGACCAATTATGTTGTTGGTTAAGTTTCACGTGTTCTTGCACATGTTTTGAAAAAATTTTCTTTCCAACAGAGAAAGATGTATTTAATTAACTGACATCTGATGTAGGTCTGTGGTAGAAACTAGTCGTTTTTCTAAATATTTGTAAGAGGTTGTTTTTTAATAATCAAATTTAACTTTTTGTAAAAAGTTGTTTGAAAATGCCTAGGTACCATGAGAAGAGCACTACATTTTATAAATGAAGTAGTACCTCATGACATTGAATATAATCAAAATAAATAGTAAATGTAGTGGTGAATAGAGGTACAGGATAACAAGTTACATACACACAGTTCTTGAGATTGAGTTTACAATTTTATATGAACAAAACTATATTAAGACAATCATAATGGTGATGAACAGAATGCTCACAAATATATTTAGGTGTTCAAGCAAATGTATACTT